GACAGCTTGAGGCTCTGTCTCAAAAAAAAAAAGAAACTAGACTCAGGGAGATATTTGCTAATCCAAAGTCAGATAGTAGGTAAGTGGAGTAGCTAGAATTTGAACCCAGGGCCTTATGTCTCTAGACTCTAAGGGCCTAACCATGATGATAGTTTGCCTCCTGGCTTTGTCACCTTGACTTCACTTTGCCTTTCCAAACCTCCATTTCCTCAGGATAAGGCCCAGGTGAAAAGCTTAGAGAGCCTGGGTTATAATGCCAGCTCTGCCCTCTTGCTGTGTGACTAGACCAGGGGTCCTCAAACTTTTTAAACAAGGGGCCAGTTCACTGTCCCTCAGACCGTTGGAAGAGTGGACTGCAGGCCCTGGGACAAGTTGGCTGCTAAGCAGGATAGGCAGCGGCAGCAAAAAGAGCCGGATAAATGTCCTAGGCGGGCTGCACATGGCCCGCAGGCCATAATTTGAGGATGCCTGGACTAGACTGTGCCTCTTAGAGCTCCAGTTTGCTCTAAAACAGAGATAAGAACTACCTTTTAGGGGCGGCGCCTATGGCTCAGTGAGTAGGGCGCCATCCCCATATACCGAGGGTGGTGGGTTCAAACCCAGCCCTGGCCAAAACTGCAACAACAAAAAAAATAAATCAAAATAAATAAACATGCAATAATTAATAAAAAAAAAAAAGAACTACCTTTTAGTCTGGAGTATGGCTTTAATAGCAGAGATGCATACCAAGTATTTAGCACAGTGGTTAATACAGAATTGCTCAACAGCATTAGCTATTATCATAGCATCACCTTTAACAAAGGAATCATCAATACCCTCCAGTTGGGCCTGTTGAAAGGACTATAATATACCAAAGTGGCAAGTACTGGGTGTGGTACCTGGGCCCATAGGCACTTAATATGTGGTGGCTATTAATTCCTGAGAGCTTTTCATTGTGTTCCTGGCCCACTCCTGGGGCCTCAACTATGACCAACATAGACCCAGGCCTTGCCCTCATGGTTAGGTTAGTGTTATTCTGGCATCACCAGAGATGAGCTCTCTCTCTGGCCTAGTGGTTGGCAGAGGTGAGGAGCTCTGAAGAGTTTCTTCTTCTCTGAAGAGTGGTGGTCAGAGCAGTCTGTCTCAGGACTGACTGTAGGGACTGAAAAAAAAAAACACGCACCTAAAGCCTTCTCACATGGCCTGGTGCCTGCAAAGGATTGATGAAATGGTAACCGCTATTACTGATATTGTTTTACTCACCTATTCTGTTCATCCATATTTGATGGGGACTATTCTGGGATATAACACTTAGTCCTCAATCTCACAAAGCTGAGTATATGTATGTGTATATATACATACACACAGGTTGAGTATCCCTTATCAAAAAATACTTGGGACCAGAAATATTTCAGATTTAAGACTTTTTTCAGATTTTGGACTAATTGCATATAAATAATAAGATATGACAATTGGGCGCGGTGGCTCACACCTGAAATCCTAGCCCCTGGGCTAGGGGAGGCCAAGGCCAGTGGATAGCCTGAGCTGATGAATTCCAGACCAGCCTGAGCAAAAGCGAGACCCCATCTCTACTAAAATTAAAAAACTAAGGCAAGAGATTGCTTGAGCTCAAGAGCTGGAGGTTGCTGTGAGTTGTGACGCCACAGCACTCTACCCAGGGAAACAGCTAGAGATTCTGTCTCAAAAAAAAAAAAGAGAGGGGGCGACACTGTGGATCAGTGAGTAGGGGGCCGGCCCCGGGGTGGAGGGTTCAAACCTGGCCTCAGCCAAACTGCAACAAAAAATAGCTGGGTGCTGTGGCAGGCACCTGTAGTCCCAGCTACTGGGGAGACTAAGGCAAGAGAGAATCACCCAAGCCCAAGAGCTGGAGGTTGCTGTGAGCTGTGACGCTACAGCCCTCTACCAAGGGCAACAAAGTGAGACTGTTTCTTAAATAAATAAATAAATAAATAAGAGAGATATCTTGGAGATGGGACCCAAGTCTCAACACAAAATTTATTTGTTTCACATACTCCTTATACACACAGTCTGAAGGTAATTTCATACAATATTTTTAATAATTTTGTCCATGTGCTCAGCGCCCATTGCTCGGCCATATACATTGGGGCTGGCAGGCTTCAACCTGGCCCAGGCCTGTTAAAAACAACAATGACAACTACAACAAAAAAACAGCCAGGCATTGTGGTGGGTGCCTATAGTTCTCCCAGCTGAGGCAAAAGAATTGCTTAAGCCCAAAAGCTTGAGGTTGCTGTGAGCTGTAACATCACAGCACTCTACCAAGGGCAACATGGTGAGACTCTGTTTCCAAAAAAAAAAAAAAAAAAATAGGGTGCCGCCTGTGGCTCAGTGAGTAGGGTGCTGGCCCCATGTACTAAGGCTGGCAGGTTCGAACCTGGCCCCAGCCAAACTGAAATTAAAAAAATAGCTGGGCGTGGGTGGTGCCTAAGGCTCAGTGGACAGTGTGCCGGCTCCATATACAGAGGGTGGTGGGTTCAAATCCAGCCCCGACTAAACTGCAACAAAAAAAAATCATGTTTCCCTGAAAATAAGACACTGTCTTATATTTATTTTTTCTCAAGAAGACACACTAGAGCTTATTTTCAGGGGATGTCTTATTTTTTTTAAGTATAATACAACAATCTACATTTACAAATACAGTTAAGTCATCTCCTCGTACCTGACAGGGGAGCCGACCTTGTTGGTTGGGCTGGCATTAGTGATATGTGAACTCCTCCTTTCCCCTAGCCATTAGCACATGTGCAATAGGATGCCTGTGACCGCGGTTACCACACATGTACCCGCACAAGTTTGAACGGCTCGGATAAAGGAGCTGTGGCAGATAAAAGGTATTCCAATCTTCCTTACCATTCAGCACCAAAATGCATGGCATGGCTATACTGCATAGCCACGCCCATCATTAGGTCTTATTATAGGGTAGGGCTTATATTTAACAAATGCATAGAAATCCTCCTAGGGCTTCTTTTTTGGGTAGGTCTTATTTTCGGGGAAACACAGTAGCCAGGTGTTGTGGCAGGCACCTATAGTCCCAGCTACTCGGGAGGCTGAGGCAAGAGAATTGCCTAAGCCCTCACAGGTGGAGGTTCCTGTAAGCTGTGTGACACCACAGCACTCTACTGAGGGAAACAGAGTGACTCTCTGACTCTACAAAAAAAAAAAATAGCTGGGCATTGTGGCAGGCGCCTGTAGTCCCAGCTACTCGGGAGGCTGAGGCAAGAGAATCCCCCAAGTCCAAGAGCTGGCGGTTCCTGTGAGCTGTGACACCACAACACTCTACTGAGGGTGATAAAGTGAGATTCTGTCTCTGAAAAAAAAAGTAATAATAATAATTATAAAATAAAATAAAATTGGGTGGCGCCTGTGGCTCAAAGGAGTAGAGCGCCAGCCCCATATGCCGGAGGTGGTGGGTTCAAACCCAGCTCTGGCCAAAAACTGCAAAAAAAAATAATAATAATAAAATAAAATAAAAATTTTGTCCATGAAACAAAATCTGTGTAAGTAGTTATGTATGGAATTTTCCATTTGTGCCAGGGTATCACGTCAGAATGAAAATGTTTCAGATTTTGGAGTTTTTTGGATTGGAGTGCTCAAAAGACATAGCAGGTATATGTGTGTGTATCTCAACTGTGTTAAATTCCACAAGGAAAGAACGGGGAACTATAATGACATTTATAAAAGACACCTGACTAAGTCAGAGGAACAAGATGAGACTTCTCTGAGGACTAAGATGGGAAAGATGATAGTTAACAGATATGGGAAGAGGTCATACAAAAGTTCTGTGGCCCAGAGAGTACTTCTGTCAACAGAAGAATAAGGAGGCCAGAATGACTTGTGCAAAGGGAAGAGGCAGAAAGTAGAGTGACATGAATCCAGAGGAGGGGCAAAAACCATGCAGGGCCCTGAAGGCTATGATAAGAAACCGGGGCTTTCTCTCAAAGGCACTAATGATCCATTTAGGAGCTTTGAGCATGACAGAGTCAGCTTTGTGCTTTTGAAAGACCTATCTGGCCCCTGTGAGGAAGAAATAATGGAGGGGATGGGACTAAGAACCAGGAGACCACAGAGGAGGGTAGGGCAGAGATATAGTATAAACGGGAAGGCCTATACAGTTCTTATCTAACAAGAGAGAAGAATCTAGTAAACAAGGGCCATTTCAAGCTGGGATCCCAAGGACAAGTAGGAGTTAAACTGATGAGGGGAAGTAACACAGGCCAAAGCCCTGCGGTGGCAAAAATAGAAAAATGGCCAGTTGAGTTGTCCCAGGATGAAGCTGAGAGGCCAGACAGCAAAGGCCTTCTAGGCCAAGGATGGAGTTTGGTCTCTCCAAAAGCAATTAAAACATCAAACAGGAGAGGGAAGTGGTTGGATTTCATGTAATGAATATTGATAGCATTCCTATCATGTGCCAGGCCAACCCTCAAGAGTAGCTGAGCTCTTCTATGCACAGGAACATAGCAATATGTGAAAGAGAACATTCTGGATGTGGCCAGTCTTATGTCTGGAATGCTATGAGAGTTACAAAGATTTCCCTACTTCCTGTTTAACACCATGTCTGCACTCTAAGGCCACACCAAACAACACAGTATACTATAAAAAACAGAACCCATCAAATTTTTTTTTTTGTTGTTTTGTGGCTGGGGCTGGGTTTGAACCTGCCACCTCCGGCATATGGGGCCAGCACCTTAGTCCTTTGAGCCACAGGTGCCACCCAGAATCCCTCAAATTCTTACTAGTGATGATGCTCAAGAAACAATTCATGAATATACTCCTGAGAAAATAAAGCTCTTGTCTTGGCATACGTTTCCAAGACCAAATTTTACAAGAATGACCAAGGCTTCACCCTCTGGAGCAGTGGTTCTCAACCTTCCTAATGCTGCAATGTATTTTCATTGTTAAAAACGGGTCATGACCCACAGGTTGAGAACCGCTACTCTGGAGGATCTCCTAACCCCGGATGTAATGCCAATAAGCCAGGTACTCACGATTTTTTCATAGTACTCCCGCCTCCGCTCTGCTCTCTTCTTGTAGTCCACCATCATGCCTCGAAGCTTCCGCTCATGCTTCCGAGCCTCGTGCCACATTGTGGTGAGGCCAAGCCTAGGGCCTCAACCTGAAGGATAAAGGCACCCAGAAATGTCAGATGGACTGTAAAAACCCTATGGACAGAATCAAAGTCATCTAACAAGTTGAGTGATAGAGATGATCTTAAATAGCATTTCTCTCTGCTTCAGAGTAGAAGGCTACAAGACTGTGAGCCAGATGCTCAAGTGCATCCCTGACAACTCTGATTCAGTATGTTAGACATTCTGAAAAACCGTTAAGTGATTCTGGGGTGAGCATCCCGGGAAAGGAGTGTCCTAGATTCCACATGAAGTCAGGGATGAAAGTTTTGAAACAGGCTCAGCACCTGTAGCTCAGCGGCTGGGGCACGAGTTACATACACCGGAGCTGGTGGGTTCAAATCCAGCCCAGGCCTGCCAAACAACAGCGACAACTACACCAAAAAAATAGCTGGGCAATGTGGCAAGCAACTGTAGTTCCAGCTACTTGGGAGGCTGAGGCAAGAGAATCGCTGAAGCCCAAGAGTTTGAGGTTGCTGTGAGATGTGATGTCACAGCACTCTACTGAGGGCAACATAGTGAGACTCTGTCTCAAAAAAAAAAAAAGAAAGAAAGTTTTGAAACAAAAGCAGTATTTGAAGTAAGGTCAGAAGGCACCTGAGGTGCCTGAGCACCTAGGGCTGGAACTCAAGCTAAAGGAAGTGTTAAAAAATGTTTCCGGCTCGGCGCCTGTGGCTCAAGTGGCTAAGGCGCCAGCCACATACACCTAAGGTAGCAGGTTCGAATCCAGCCCAGCCCACCAAACAATGATGGCTGCAACCAAAAAATAGCTGGGCGTTGTGGCGGGTGCCTGTGGTCCCAGCTACTTGGGAGGCTGAGGCAGTAGACTCGCTTGAGCCCAGGTGTTGGAGGTTGCTGTGAGCTGCAATACCACGGCACTCTACCCGGGGGACAGCTTGAGGCTCCGTCTCAAAAAAAAAAAAAGGTTCCACCAGGGGCCATATGTGGGGGGTGGGTATGAGCATGGGCTGCAGAGACATATGGATGAAGGCAGGTGGAAAAAAATTGAGAAAAACTGTATGTAAACAGCGTAGTGATATGGAGGTAGGAGTAGAGGGCCAGTAAAAGGAGTGGATGGAAAATGATGACGCTTGACAGAGAGGGAAGATGGGGTGGATGTTGTAAGGAGAAACTTGAGTTAAGCTGAGTTCTAAATAAGGGATTTGAACAGAGGAGTGAGGAGACAACATGCAGGTTAAAAAAGAAACCTAAGGGGCGGCGCCTGTGGCTCAAAAGGGTAGGGCGCCAGTCCCAAATGCCGGAGGTGGCGGGTTCAAACCCAGCTCTGGCCAAAAACAAATACATACATACATACATACATACATGCATAAAAAGCCTGAGAGGCGGAGCTGGCTGACGAAATGGGGTGGGGTGAGTTTGAGGGCAGAGCTAGTGGACAAGGCTGAGAAGCAGGTTGCGGCCAAAGGTTTTGGGCTGCTTCTTCTGACAAGTGGGTGGGACTGTGACTCGGGCCGGCCCCCAGGCCGAGTCTGACGCGGAGAGTTCGGGCCCAGGCGGAGACTGGGGCGCGGCCTGAAGCCCATCAGGCCGAAGGGGGCAAGGGACGAGCGGTCGTCGAGACCAGCAGCATGGAGAAAGCCTGAAGCAAGGGCAAAGCTGGGCTGACACCTGCCTGAAAACCACAAGGTCGAGGCCCGCCGCCTGCACTCACCGGCTGATCGCGGCCTCCCACCGCTGCGCTCGCGCGCGGCCGCACCGGAAACGGAAATGAGAGGCCGCGCCAAGGGGAAGGGGCGGGGCGTGGTGGAGCGCCACAGCGCACTTCCGCCGATGCGGGACCGGGGCCTGGAGCCGGGGGGCGGGGACTAGAAGGAGTAGGGCGGAGACGTCGTGCAAAGCCCACCTCGAAGGCGTTGCTTTGTCAAGAGGCCGGGCTGTTTCCCATTTAGAAGAGAGACGAAAAGGCCAAGGCTCAAAAACTTGTATTTATTGAGAAGAATTTGAACAACTTACCCGCCCCTCAAGTCTTAGGAAGAGAGTCGGCATCTACCCCTTCCGGCCATATGTACAATCTTTTGAAGGTGCCAGCTGAGGCAGCTTTAAAAAGCGAGTGCATGGGAGCCAACCCCCTTTTTCTCTCCGGACTCAGTTTCCTCATTTATAATAATGGCTTAAGGGAACCTCGCGCTACGGAGCTTCTCGTCAACGCTGAAGTGTCCGATTGAGAAGCATGAGGAGGTCAGAAGACTAAACAGAGGGCAGCCCAAAGGGATGGTGGTGTTGGTGGTGCTGGACGTCTTGGCTGGGTTCACACAGCCCCGCCACCTCCTTCCCCACCCAGAGCCTATCCTCTAAGCGCCACGGCGCTACGTGGCTTCAGGTCCCGGGGACAGGAGGCCGCCCCCAAAAGCCGACTCGCGGTACTGGTTGGGGAACATGTTGCTGCCCACGAGGCTAGCGGTGCCTCCGTCCCCGGGGCCTGGGGCCTGGTACGAGTCCAGCGTCAGCGGCTCCGGGCCCGGGGGCTCCCCAACCGCTCCTGCTGCACCCCCGTTGCCTGCGACAGCGCTGGCGAGTGGCGGCGGCGGGGGCAGCAGGTCCAACATGGTGAAAAGCGTGGGGGCCGTGGGGTCGTAGGCAAAGCCGTCGTCCAGGAAGTCAGACCCACTGGCGGGGTCCAAGACAGGCAGTGACACACTGGGGAAGAAGTCTGTGTCTGGCAGCAGGGCTGAGGGCGGAAGGTACGGACCTACCAGATGAAAAAAGAGAAGTGTGTTGAGCTTTAGGGCCAACTTCTGGCCAGAACCCAACCTGAATGCCTAGCCCCATGCTAAATGCGTCATCAGGATGCCTCCCTGTGAGAAGGGACTATTGCTTCTGACTACTGCTTCACTATGACTGACTTCTCAGTAAACAAACACAGGCAGGGGGGAAAGTAAAGTCATATACAGCTGTGGAGTTGTAGAACCAAGGTCGAAACCATGCAGCTCCGCAGAGAGTTTTCCCCAAGGATGAGAAAGGAAAGGAGCCTCCAGGCCCCCTAAAATACAGAGATAACTCAAAACCCAAAAAGTGAAATCTTGGAAACACTCATTCTGTATTAATGGAATGAAGTGTTGCCCAGTTAAAAAACAAGGACAAAAACACCTCCACGAAGTTGGGAAGTCGCCAGATCCCAAATTGTAAGGCAAAATAAATGTCATAAGAAAGTCACTTTCTGGCTCAGCGCAGGTAGCACAGAGGTTACCAAGCCAGCCACATAGACCCAGGCTGGTGGGTTTGAACCTGCCCTGGGCCAGCTAAACAGTGACAACTGCAGCCAAAAAATAGCCGGTCGTTGTGGCAGGTGCCTATAGTCCCAGCTACTTGGGAGGCTGAGGCAAGAGAATCACTTAAGCCCAAGAGTTTGAGGTTGCTGTGAGCTGTGATGCTACAGCACTCTACTGAGGGCAACATAGTGAGACTCTACCTCAAAAAGAAAAGAGCCTCTTTTTTTTTTGGCCAGGGCTGGGTTTGAACCCACCACCTCCAGCATATGGGGCCGGCACCTCAGTCCTTTGAGCCACAGGCGCTGCTGAGCCACTTTGTTTTTAAAACAAGACAAACCTCATCAGCAAAAGCTGATTACCCTTAACTTAGAAAGAGGCATACCCGGTGGTGCCTGTGGCTCAAAGGAGGAGGGCGCCAGCCCCATATGCCAGAGGTGGTGGGTTCAAACCCAGCCCTGGCCAAAAACTACAAAAAAATAAAAATAGCACCATTGTAGCAGGTGTCTGTAGTCCCACCTACTTGGGAGGCTGAGGCAAGAGAATTGCTTGAGCCCAAAAATTTGAGGTTGCTATGAGCTATGACACCATAGCACTCTACCGAGGGAGACAAAAGTGAGACTCTATCTCAATAAATAAATAAATAAATAAAAGGCCAGTGAGGTATGTATGTGATTAGGCTTTTTAAAGGAGCCCCTGAGACTCTGAGAGAATAATTTAGCAAAGGTCACACAGCCAGTAAATGTCCAGGGGAGATTAGGACTTCCGTTCTGTCTCAAGAGCCCTTATTCTTCTCATTTTATGTTGCTGGGTAAGTGGTGAGTGGCCTAGTGGGAGCTCTTAGAGGGCCCAGAAAAGCAGGACTGCAGCTCACCCTTGGCCCACCCCATGAAGCAGGGACTTGCGCGGAGCCAGGACCCACCTGAGCCATGGCTGGGCAGGAAGTGGTCCAGGAAGACTGGCTTTTTCTTTCGCCGTTTGCTCTCTATGCCATGGGGATCTGTGGGAAGGCAAAGATGGGACCAGCAGAGGAGGCAGTGGGGTCAGCCCTCCCCTCCCCCAAACCTGGGATAGGTATGGAAAGAAGCAGAGGGCACACACCAGAGCTGTTTAGCTCCCCGAGAACATCAGGTATCCCCCGTTTCCGCTTCTTATCCACGCCATAGCTGTCTGTTCAGGAGATACCAGGGACATGCAAAAAGTAATCCATTAATAATAACAAATAATTAATGACCAACTATATATACCATTTAGGAAGTTATTGAGCTATTCAGATTTATGAACAACCAGAGAAAACAGATAACCATATCCTAATCAAAACAAAAGCCACACTCACTTCCAACCACACTGGCCTCTCTGTTATTCCTGGAGCACCCCAAGCACAATCTTGTCTCAGGACCTTTGCATGTGCTATCCAAGCTGTTTAAAACAGTCTCCCTGGGCCAGGCTCAGTGGCTCACACTTGTAATCCTAACACTCTGGGAGACTGAGGCAGGTGGATTGTTGGAGCTCACAAGTTCAAGACCAGCCTGAGCAAGAGTGAGACCCTGTCTTTACTAAAAATAAAAAAAACTGAGGTAAGACGATTGCTTGAGCCCAAGAGTTTGAGGTTGCTGTGAGCTATGATGCTACAGCACTCTACCCAGGGTGACAGCTTGAGATTCTGTCTTAAAAAAAAAGTTGGCTTGGTACCTGTGGCTCAAGTGGCTAAGGTGCCAGCCACATACACCTAAGGTGGCAGGTTCGAATCCAGCCCGGACCTGCCAAACAACAATGACAGCTGCAACCAAAAAATAGCCGGGCGTTGTGGCGGGCGCCTGTTGTCCCAGCTACTTGGGAAGCTGAGGTAGGAGACTCGCTTGAGCCCAGGAGTTGGAAGTTGCTGTGAGCTGTGAAGCCACGGCATTCTACCCAGGGGGATAGCTTGAGGTTCTGTCTCAAAAAAAAAAAAAAAAAAAAGTCTCCCTGGCCAGACACAGTGGATCACACCTATAATCCTAGTACTCTGGGAGGCTGAGATGGGCGGGTTGCTTGATCTCAAGAGTCCGAGACCAGCCTGAGCAGGAGCGAGGTCCCATCTCTAAATAAATAACTAGGCATTGTGGCAGGCGCCTGTAGTCCCAGCTACTCAGGAAGCTGAGGCAAGAGAATTGCCTGAGCCCAAGAGTTTGAGGTTGCTGTGAGCTGTGACGCCACAGCATTCTACTGAGGATAACAAAGTGAGACTATGTCTCAAAAAAAGAATAATAAAATAAATAAATAAATAAAAATAAAACAGTCTCTCTCACTGCCACCACTTACCTGGAAAAGCACTCAGTCATCTTTCTGCCCTCAGTTCATCTGTCCAGTCCTCCATAAAACCTTCCCTAACCCCTAGAGCTAGGTCAGGTATTCCCTTTGAGCAATCTAACACCCTCAAGTAACTCCATTCCAGTGTCCTGCTCCCTCGGGTCATCCCTGTGTGGAGATAGGCTGTCTCTTCCCCCTCAATGGGACTGTAAGCCAAATAAGGGCAGGGCTAGGAATGGTCTTGGTTACTGCTGTGTCCCCAGCCCTACCTAGCATGAGGCCAGAAATGAGCAGGCATGCTGAGGAGATGAATGACTAAGTACTCCCCAAATGCCATGAGACTGGTAATATTATTTCCATTTTGCACAGGAGGAGACTAAGGCTTGGAGAGGCAGAGGTCACACAGCCAGGGAGCACCAGAGCTAGAATTTGAACCTCATCTATGTAGGTCCTTGCCTGCATTCTACTTCTGCCCCTTCCTCTTCCTCTTCTGAGTCATCCCAAGCAAGGTCAAAATCCTAGTCTCTGGGGCAGTAGGTCACCCTGGGTTGCTGTGGTTACCATGGTCCCGAGGCAGGTACGTGAAGGGCAGTGGCTCGCTGCAGACCCCGTCAGTGAGTCGCTGCAGGAAGACATTGACCGTCACAGGCTCAACAATCTCCAGGTCCTCATAGGGTGGCGTCTTGAACACAATGGCAATCTGGCGATGCACGTCAGCCTGAGAGAAGTCAGCTCGGCCTTCCCAGGAGGCTGTGCTGAACACGACTGATATGTCCTCTGGCAGGAAAGTAGGGACATCAGCTGAGCCAGGACTTTTGCCCACTGAGCCCCTAATATGTTCAACTTCCCCCAAAGTCAACACTAACATTTCTGAAAATAAAACATCATAGTAGCAATAGTAGCAGCTTGCTTTCTTCTTCTTCTTTTTTTTTTTTTTTTAGCAGTTTTTGGTCGAGGCTGGGTTTGAACCCACCACCTCCAGTATATGGGGCCGGTGCCTTACTCCTTGAGCCACAGGCGCCACCCCAGTTTCTTTTTCTTTTTTTTTTTTTGAGACAGAGTTTTACTTTGTCCTTTGTCACCCTGCGTAGAGTGCTGTGGTGTCATAGCTCATAGCACCCTCAAACTCTTGGGCTTAATTGATCATTTTACCTCAGCCTCCCAAGTAGCTGAGACTACAGGTGCCTGCCACAACACCCAGCTATTTTCTTAGAGACTGGGTCTTGCTCTTGTTCAGGCTAGTCCCAAACTTCTGAGCTCAGGCAATCCACCCACCTTGGCCTCCAAGAGTGCTGGGATTATAGTAGTAGCAACTTTCTGTTGAGCACCTATTGTGTGCCAGTCATTAAGTGGTTTATATGTTTACATGAAATCTCATTCAATCCTTATAACAACCTAAATGTTCAGTAGAATTCATATCCCAGACATGTCCAGGGGCTAGGCATGGTGGCTCATGGCTGTAATCTTAGCACTTGGGGAGGCTGAGGTGGGTGGATTGCTTGAGCTAGGATTTCAAGACCAGCCTGATCAAGAGTGAGACCCTGTCCCTATTAAAAATAGAAAAACTGGCTCGGCGCCTATAGCTCAACCGGCTAAGGCGCCAGCCACGTACACCTAAGGTGGCGGGTTCAACTCCCCAGCCTGGACCCGCCAAAACAACAATGACGGCTGCAACCAAAAAATAGCCGGGCGTTGTGGTGGGCGCCTGTGGTCCCAGCTACTTGGGAGGCAGAGGCAGGGGACTCGCTTGAGCCCAGGAGTTGGAGGTTGCTGTGAGCTGTAATGCCATGGCACTCTACCCAGGGGGACAGCTTGAGGCGGTTGCTGTGAGCTGTAATGCCATGGCACTCTACCCAGGGGGACAGCTTGAGGCTCTGTCTCAAAAAAAAAAAATAGAAAAACTAGCCAGGCATTGTGGCCGGTGCTTTAGTCCCAGCTACTCGGGAGGCTGAGGCAAGAAGATCATTTGAGCCCAAGAGTTTGAGGTTGCTGTGATCCACGGCACTCTACCAAGATCCACGGCACTCCACAGCACTCTACCAAGGATGACAAAGTGAGACTTTGTCTCAAAAAAAAAACTGTACATGAATGTTCATAGCAGTACTATTCACAATAGCCAAAAAGTGGAAATAAGCCAAATGTCCGTCAGCGGATCAATGGATAAACAAATTGTGGTATGCCTATATGACAGAATATCCTTCAGCCATAAAAACGAATGAAGCATTGGGTGGTGCCTGTGGCTCAAAGTAGTAGGGCGCCGGCTCCATATGCCAGAGGTGGTGGGTTCAAACCTAGCCCCAGCCAAAAACTGCAAAAAAATCCAGGAATGAAGCACTAATACGTGCTACAATGTGGATGGACCTTGAAAGTACTATGCTAAGTGAAAGAAGCCAGATACAAAAGGCCACATAATTATGATTCCATTTATGAAATATCCATAGACAGAGAAAACAGATTAGTGGTTGGCAGGGACTAAGGGGAGAAGGGAATAGGAATTGACAACTTAATGGGTCCAGGGTTTCTTTGTGGGTGCTGAAAATGTTCCGGAACTAGATAGTGGTGGTGGCACAACATTGTGAATGTACTATATGCCACTGAACCATACATTTTTTTTTTCTTTAGAGACAGAGACTTACTTAATCACTCTTGGTAGAGTGCCATGGCGTCACAGCTCATAGTAACCTCTAACTCCTGGGCTTAGGCGATTCTCTTGCCTCAGCCTCCCGAGTAGCTGGGACTCCCAAGTAGCTGGGACTACAGGCACCTGCCACAACGCCCAGCTATTTTTTTGTTGCAGTTTGGCCAGGGCCAGGTTTGAACCCACCACCGTCGATATATGGGGCCAGTGGCCCTACCCACTGAGCCACAGGCACTGCCCTGAACCATACACTTTAAAATGATTTTAGATTCGGCACCCATAGCTCAGTGGTTAGGGCACCGGCCATATACACTGAGGCTGGCAGGTTCAAATCTGGCCCAGGCCTGCTAAGCAACAATGACAACTGCAACAAAAAAATAGCCAGGGCTCGGCGCCTATAGCTCAACCGGCTAAGGCGCCAGCCACGTACACCTAAGGTGGCGGGTTCGAATCCCCAGCCCGGACCCGCCAAACAACAATGACGGCTGCAACCAAAAAATAGCCGGGCGTTGTGGCAGGCGCCTGTGGTCCCAGCTACTTGGGAGGCTGAGGCAGGAGACTCGCTTGAGCCCAGGAGTTGGAGGTTGCTGTGAGCTGTAATGCCACGGCCCTCTACCCAGGGGGACAGCTTGAGGCTCTGTCTCAATTAAAAAAAAAAAAATAGCCAGGCATGGTGGCAGGCACCTGTAGTCCCAGCTACTTGGGAGACTGAGGCAAGAGCATCACCTAAGCCCAAGAGTTTGAGGTTGCTGTGATGCTACAGCACTCTCCCAAGGGACCACAAAGTGAAACTCTGTCTCAAAAACAAAAAACAAACAAACAAAAACCATATACCGAGGGTCATGGGTTCAAACCTGGCCCTGACCAAATTGCAACCAAAAAAATAGCTGAACGTTGTGGTGGGCGCCTGTAGCCCTAGCTGCTTGGGAGGCTGAGGCAAGAGAATCACCTAAGCCCAGGAGTTGGAGATTGCTGTGAGCTGCGTGATGCCAGGGCACTCTACCAAGGATGATAAAGTGAGACTCTGTCTCTACCAAAAAAAAAAGAAAAGAAAAGAAAAAAATACTGTGAGCCATGGCTGGGCACAGTGGCTCATACTTATAATCCTAGCACTCTGGAAGGTCCAGGCTGGAGGATCCCTTGAGTTCAGGAGGTCGAGAAAAGCCTGAGCAAGAGTGAGACCCTATGTCTACTAAAAATAGAAAAACTAGCTGGGCATTGTGGCAGGCCCCTGCAGTCCCACCTACTCGGGAGGCTGAGGCAAGAGGATCATTTGAACCCAGGAGTTTGATGTTGCCGTGAGCTATGCTGACACTATGGCACTTTAGCCTGGAGCAGCAGAGTGCCACTCTGTCTCAAAAAAAAAAAAAAAAAATGCAAGGGTGACACCCATAGCTCAGTGAATAGGGCACCGGCCACACACACTGAGGCTGGCAGGTTTGAACCTGGCCCGGGCCAGCTAAAACAACAATAACAACTGCAACCAAAAAAAAATAGCTGGCCATTGTGGCAGGCACCTGTAGTCCCAGCTACTTGAGAGGCTGAGGCAAGAGGATTACTTGAGCCCAAGAGTTTGAGGTTTCTGTGAGCTGTGATGTCATGGCATTCTACCAAGGGCAACATAGTGAGATTCTGTCTCAAAAAAAAAAAAAAAAAAAAGCAAAGGATACAAAAGAGATATGCATAGTAAAAGGGAAGACTCCCTATTGCCCATTCCCCTGTCAGTAAATCCTGAGTGTAAGGTTTGCTGGTTTCTCTTAAAGCCTATTTGAGGAAGGAACATTTGAAAAGATGTGAATGAAGCAGAGGAGGTATTTTTCTGGTCCTTTGTTTGCTTTATCCATACCCCATCACAATGGCCATAAGGCATTTACTTATGCAATCCCACCATTAATATCAGAGTTTCCCAGCTAGTGAGCTCTGGGATAGCACCACCTGGCACCCAGCATAGGCCAGCACAAACAGGCCTCCCTCTCTGTACAAGGACAAGTGAATGGGTCACTTGAAGAGTGAATGAACCAATCAGCTGTGTCGCCCTGACTCCAAAGCCAGAATTCTGGATTCTTCTGCTCCACTGTCCTGCTTAACTAGCTCTTCCTCACCTTCCCAGCCTCCTAAGCTCCCCTGCAACCCCTCTGAGCCACCAGATCCACTCTGCCTGGGCCTGCTGCCCCAAGCCCCTCACCTTTCTGCACCTTGTCACATAGCAAGTAGAGCTCTTCACCACCCGTGCATGGGCCGCTCTCCTTGTTGATTCGGCAAATCCGTAGCTCTGATGTGTTTGTGGACTCTGAGAAGTAGCAAGAGGAAGAAATGTAAAAGATAAAATGAGAATTCAGTCACTGAGTCTTTTTTTTTTTTTTTGAGATAATCCTGCTTTGTCACCCTCAGTCGAGTGCTGTGACATCATAGCTCACAGCAACCTCAAACTCTTGGGCTCAAGCAATTCTCTTGCCTCAACCTCCTGAGCAGCTGGGACTACAGGTGCCTGCCACAACACCTGGCTATTTTTAGAGGCAGGGGTCTCGCTCTGTCTCAGGCTGGACTTGAACCTGTGAACTCAGGGCAATCCACCCACCATGACTTCCTAGAGTGCTAGGATTATAGGCAGGAGCCACTGCGCCCAGCCTTTAGTCACCAAGTCTTTATCAGACACCTAGTGGGTGCCCACCCCACGCTATGGAGAAGTGGGGAATAAAGAAGACAGACCAAGTCCTCCTGGAACCTGTGGTCTAGGTGGAGAAAGAAGACACTCAGAAGGGACAGGTTAGGGCGGTGCCTATGGCTCAGTGAGTAGAGCGCCGGCCCCTACTCAATGGGTTCAAACCCAGCCCCAGCCAAACTGCAACAAAAAATAGCCAGGCGTTGTGGCGGGCGCCTGTAGTCCCAGCTACTTGGGAGGCTGAGGCAGGAGAATCACCTAAGCCCAGGAGTTGGACTCCACAGCACTCTACCAAGGGCAATAAAGTGAGACTCTGTCTCTTAAAAAAAAAAAAAAAAAAAA